TTCCACGGGAATTAGATATACGCAAAGAAGTGAGAGCACAAATAATGTTTTCAAGATATGGCATGTAAGACTATGACTTTGTCTGAATTTGTCAATCATTATGAAAAGCAAGCGAAAAAATGCGCAACACTTGAAGTTGTTGATGATTTTGACGTGCTCGAGGAAAGCCACGTATTATGGTTGAGAATAGTGGAATTTTGAAACATGCTTGCAGATGTATATACTCATATCATATATAGAATTTCTAGGCTGAGTTCTTGCATGCTTTGTCTGAACATGTTCTTGGATCATATGTTGATGGGCCATTGCATACTTATATCTTGGGAACTGAAAGTAGTGAAATGAAGCATATTGTCCAATTTAATCCGAGCAATTCTACCGTCACATGTAGTTGCAAGTTATTTGAAATGCAAGGATGGTTGTGCAGGCATATTTTGTGCATCTTGACTCATGTTGTGAATGTTACAAGTATTCCATCACGAGTACATTACGAAGAGGTGGACAAAAGCTGCAAAGCAAGGGACTCCTTGTGATGAGATCGGACAAAGCTCTCGGGATGCGGTTCAATCAAAGACGTTGCGTTTGAAGAGGTTGATGCGGTTGGCTTTCAATGTTATGAACTTTAGTGCGAATCATGATGTTACTTGAGGAGCTTGCAACTACAACTTTGTTGCGTCTTTGCTCCCAAATTACAAAGAAAATGAAATGTTTAACAGATAATGATCATGTTGATTTCTCGGTGGAAAGTGATGAATCGAAGATGCAGAAAATTCTGGAATTCGAGTATGTGATCCCCTTCGGAGAAGACCAAAAGTGTACCAAATACTAGATTGAAGAGCATCGGGGAGAAGCGAAAGAGAAAAGCCTCTTCATGTGCACGAGTCACCTTACACAAGGTATAATAGCTTGTTTAACGTAAAAGAATGATTGCATCTATTTTTGACGTTTATTTATATGCACTTCTCCTTTATGAAAATGGGTATAAGCAAAGAAATGCATGAAATAATTCCGATTTGTCGCTTTTATGCGGGATTGATCTTGATAAAAGTCTGCGATCATTGGAGATTGATCTTCCTTCGGCAAGCAAGTTCAATGTGGAAGCAATTTGTGTATCCGATCTCCAAGGATTTGTTTTTGTTAGGCTGAGTTTTTGGTTGTTAATAGATTAGTAGTTGTTTGTTTTTAGATTCTATTTACAAGAGTCCCTTTTAGCGATTAAGTTCGATTGTAGATATTTGGTCACTTTTTATGCAGGATTGATCTTCAATAAAAGTCTGCGATCATTAGAGATTGATCTTCCTTCGGCAAGCAAGTTCAATGTGGAAGCAATTTGTGTATCTGATCTCCAAGGATTTGTTTTTGTTAGGAGAATTTTTGGTTGTTAATAGATTAGTAGTTGTTTTGTTTTTAGATTCTATGTACAAGAGTCCCTTTTTGGCGATTAAGTTACTTGATTGTACATATTTGGTTGCTTTTGTATCTATCCTCCATGGCATATCGAAGGGATGTACATATGCATATGATGTCGGTTTTAATTCTCTCCCTCTTGGGGGCTTTAACGGATGAGTTGGTCCACTTCTTATAATGACTCGTATGAAAGCGAGGTCTCTTGGCACTATTAGCCGTGACACGATCTCTTTAGTGTTGGTTATAACTAGAATTGAACGTAAAGATGTTTGCGTAGGCTTTATATTCATTATGCCATACCATACGCTACTTTTTGCCATACATTGTTTTATATAATTCGCTATTCAAAGTGCCATACATTGCTTTGGACACAATTTAGATATTCGTTTTAAGAAAGACAAAAACTTATTCTTCTCTAAATTACTTTAAAATCATATTAATAACAAGTTCTCATCTCAATGTCGATCCTGGGTCCCTTGGCACTCATAGGAGGGACAATCTCTTTCTCTTTGATGTCATAAAAAAATAACTAAGTTGGTTATAACTAGAATTTAACACATAGATGTTTGGGTAGGCTTTATATTCACTATTCGAGTGTCATACACTGGTCTGGTTGAGACACAATCTACATATTCGTTTTGAGAAAGACAAAACTCATTCTTCTCTAAATTACTTCAACGGCATAATAAAAACAAGTTCTACAGAATTATCAGGAATAACTCCTATAACTACCTATATAATAACATTGAGATTACAATTCCGGTGAGTAAAGATATGATAACTCCATATAGTACTATTATTGACATAAAAAAGCCCATCCTTCTTCTAATTGACTTCAATTCTCTTTTCATGATAGCCATTTCTTCATTTTCATTTGATGCAACTCCTGACTCGGCTCCGTCGATATTTTTGGTGAATAGAGCCATAATTCCTCAACATAATCTTCAACCCATTGCACAAAACCCACGACAGTCATTTGTTTGAAAAAAAATCAGTGTAAGGCAAGATTAAGTATTACAACATGCATAAATAATTTGTTAAAAATTGAAACACTTACGTTACAAGTTGAGGCATAATATGATCTGCCTTGTTTTGTAGGATTCTTTTGCACTTTTTTGACCATGCATAATCTCCCTCGAGGACATGGGCATATCTTGGATGGAAAATCAACCAATGTATTCGAAGATCCTCGAGATGTCATACTAAAATCATAATGTCATAGGTAGTTAAACTTCTACTCATGATAATAAAAAACAGATGGAGTCCAAGCAAAAGAAATTATCAAACATGAATTATCCGGAAACCTTTCAAAAACTATCTAGCAACAACCTTTTAGTTTTATCTACCATAACCACTAATTTGCAAGCTTTGAAAAGAAAAATATTATCGGCAGCTCGTTGTAGCACTATTATCTTCTATATTGAAATTTCAATCTCAATCTAAGCTTTTCAATCAACCAGCAGCACTTATGACAGACGGAAAAAGAAAGAAAGAAATATACAGAGCGGTCCATTGCAGCTTGAGTTCAAGGGCATTAATTTTTTTTCCTTTCTTCCATTGCAGGATCATATGTGAAAACAACCACAATTTGTGAAAACAATCACAATTCGAGCCAATTCAAGCATAGACCTTTGCGCAAATAGTTGGCAGGCATCATTGGGGTTCCTCATAATAGTTAAGAGTAGCTCACTTGCATAAGCTCGCCTTATAAAACCCCTTCATCCACGCCCCACTACCCTAAGTTTTAGTTGATTGATGGAATTCAGATTGGTGGTGCCAAAGCAATGTGCCATGATTTACATACAACAATTTATAGGATCGGGAAAAGTCTACATAAGATCGAACAATAGCGAAATGCGGCTCATTTCTGGCCGAGACTTTTGCGAATGCAAAATACGAGTAGGGCCGAAAAGAACCTCGATTTTCGCAATCCGGAGCGAAGTGCCGCAAACCTCATTTTGCGCAAACCCGAGCGAAGTCCCGCAAAGCACTTCAGTTATGCGCAAACCGGAGCGTCCGCAGCGCACCTCTATTTTGTTGTGCGAAGTGGAGTTTTGCACTTCCGTAATAGAAATTCTTCCTTCAAAATGAAAAAGAGAGAGAAAGAAAAGTCTACATAAGATCGAACAACAGCGAAATGCAGCTCATTTACGAAACGAGACTTTTGCGAATGCAAAATACAAGTAGGGCAGAAACGCACCTCGATTTTTGCAATCCGGAGCGATGTACCGCAAACCTTTGTTTGCGCGAACCCGAACGAAAAGTCCCACAAAGCACCTTTGTAATGCACAAACCAGAGTGTCACAGCGCACCTCTATTTTGTTATGCGAAGTGGAGTTTTGAACTTCCGTAACAGAAATTCTTCCTTCAAAAGCTGAAAAAGAGAGAAAAAGAAAAGTTTACATAAGATCAAACAATAGCGAAAGTGCAGCTCACTTACGAAACTAAGACTTTTGCGAATGCAAAATACGAGTAGGGCAGAAACGCACGAAACGCACCTCGATTTTCGCGATTCGGAGCGATGTGCCGCACACTGCTCTGTTTTGCACGAACTCGAGCGAAGTCCCGCAAAGCAACTCTATTTTGCGCAAACCGGAGCGTCTCGCGGCGCACCTCTATTTTGTTGTGCGAAGTGGAGTTTTGCACTTCCATAACATAAATTCTTCATAAACTGAAAAAGGGCGAAAAAAAAAAAAAAAAAAAAAAAAAAAAAAAAAAAAAAAAAAAAAAATTTTTGAAGGGGAAGAAAGGGGGGGGGGGGAGGGGGGGCGGTTTTTTTTTTTGGAAGAATTAATTTCCCCGACACTGTTTTGATTTTTTTTGCTTAAACCAACTAATTTTCCTTTTCTTATTTTGATATTCAAATTTACATGTGTCAAAATTTCACTGGTGCTGACTGGACACATGTGTGCCACATGAGCAGGTGACCTGGCAGTATGTGCCCACTGAATATTTTCTCGAGAGAGAGACATACAACGGTCTTACTTGCGGCGATGAGATTGAGATTTATGACGAATCTAATGTACTCGACCTGTGGACTCAATCCATCTCGTATCTGCAACATGACGGCATGGCGCAAGATGGTGCGAGAGAATTTGAATACTCGGAATCCATGCCCTCTAGATAAGGAATGGAACGTTTCTGTACTACTACTAAATTGGAAGAACGAATAACATAATCATTTGTTAACTTTTATGTTGTGAGGGGTTGATATTAAATTTAGACATTTGCAAGTCTTTTCATCGTCATTTGTTGCTAAAATATACGACGAAATGAATATACATTTTCAAGATATTGCCGCAACGTTCCACCAAAAAGTGAGGCGGCCCATGAGGCACCATTGCCCCACCCAAGATGCCCCATCCCGTCTCGGCCCTTGCCCCGCCCCCGCCCACACGATGCCTTGAGGTGGTGACGGGGCAAAATCCCTGGCTGGGGTGGTCGGGGTATAGGATCATAAGGTTCTTTTCGCTAACTACCTGAAATTGGTTTCTCCTCAATGACGCACATCCCATGACGACCAGAACATGGATATTTTCAACTTCGAATCCGAGAGCATACCCACTATTTCCCTCAACAGACATCATCACGGATAAAAAGTGAAAGACATAAGCTTGCCATTTCAATCCACACCGGATACTAAAAACACACCATCCATTAGTAAAAAGTAAAAAAAAGTATAGCACGTCGACCATTGGATTGAATCCCTAGATTCTTATCCGATCGCCGGATTCTGTCGTACTACTACCGATAGTAAAACCCGCTTACGATTCAGCCATTCTTAGTTAATCAGGTGCGCGTATAGACTCAAATCGAGTCAAAAATCGATATCGATAGATACATTTAAGCCAAGAATCGATATCGATAGATACATCAAGGACACCGTTTCGTGCCCAAACGAAGGAACCCTATTCACTTAAAAGCTTTCATACATCCTTGGTTCTCCCGATCAGCGTCAACAATTACACCCCAATTCCATTCTAATTTAGGGACAAGATCGCACGCCTCGCACGTGCGCAGACCTCAGCTTCCTTCGTCCCGCGAAGCAATTATTATTTTGCCCTTTTCACATTCTCTTCGCCCGCGGATTTGGTTTTGACTTTTGCGTTTTGCCGAGCGAGTTCCGTTTCGAGGTTTTTCTCCCGTGCACAAAGTACAGCGGAGGAGCCCCCGACTCTCACGAGCGACGCGCGTGCCGCGCCACGCTCCCCAAGCGGTGAAGCCAAGCCGTGCTCTGATGTCCATCGCTTTTTGTCCGACGGACGTCGCGCGGCGAGAGAGCTTGTCATTTTCCGAGGTCGAGCCACGGCGGGTCTTCCCCGTGATGATCTTTGCTCCCATCGGACGGCTCTGATTTCACCTCCGCCCCAGGCTCACGCTCATCGGGTGGTGATTGCACCGTCTGATCATCCGCTTCTCGCATCTCTTCTTCTCCGCTGTGGTTGCCGTTGATGTTGCTGTTGTTTTTCTCCTCGACTCTCCGCCGTTTGCCCCCGATCGAGACCCCGAACAGCCGCGGAGCAACCGTCGCGCCCTCCTCCTCCTCCTCCTCGTCCTCCTCCGCCGCCGCCGCCGCCGGGCCTGCACCGTCCTCCCCCGTCTCGGCCTGCCTCGCCGGCATCAGCTCCAGAGCCTGCCCCTCGGGGGCGGCGGAGGCGGAGTCGGAGTGGCGGGAGACGTAGTTCGCCATCAGCGACAGTATGTTGTTGCACAACCCTCTCAGCTGGGACAGCTCCTGGCTCATCTGCGTGTTCTCCTTCTTCAGCCTCTCGTTCTCCTCCAGGAGCTCCGGCGCGGTCGTGCAGCTCGGCGAGCGGTGCACCACGGACGGCGAGGCGGCGGCGGCGACCGCGGCTGCCGCGAGGGCCACCGGCGGGGAACTCGACGAGATCACCTGCTCGTCGCCGGAGTTCGCCGGAGACACGGCCCGCCCCACCTCCGGCACGGCGGCGACCGTCACGGCGGCCGCAGCCGTCGGGGAGATCTTCCTGCGTTGGATGTCGCGGAGGAGGGCCTTCTCGCCTTTCCGGAAGCAATCATTGGCGAACTCCCACCGATCCGGCACCACCTTTCTGAATCCCTAGAAGGCAATCGATTGGGATCATCAGCACGAAGAAGATATCGCCGAAATCGAATCCTAAACCAAGTAAAAATCGCGTCGCGGACTCACGTAAGTGTTCAGCTGACGGACGAAGCTGGAGAAGTTGTTGTGCTTGAAATACTTGGGGAGCAAATCCCTGGCGAATTCCGCCGGCCGCCACACGATGAACGTCGTCCCGTCCTCGTTCCACGAGATCAATTCGTCCACCACCGGATCGTCCACGAGCTGGTAAGTCTTGGTGAGGAACGGCGTCGGGAGCGACCTCTGCGAGTCGCCGGCCGCCGCCGCGGGCGAGTCCCCGGCCTGCTCCCCGGGCATCGCGCGGGCGCGCACCCTCCCCTCCCCTCAGATCCGAAGCCTAGAGACGACACCTGTAGAGACTCCGAACCAGACAGGTTCCCATATTCGAGTCAGCTCGCGGACGACGCTGTAGCGTATCGTATCGCACGCCGAACCACAAAATCAACAACGCACCGAAGAAGCTTCCTCCATATCGCAGAACCGAAGTTTCCCTCCCCCCACCACCAATCCGATCAACGAAAGAAAAGCCAAAAAAGAAAAAGAAAACCGAAAGAATTTTCGCGGATTCTGATTCTCAGCTAAGCAGGCGACGAGAAACGATGCACCGAAAGGGAAAGAACAAAAAGGTCGCGATGAACAGGAAAAAGAAGAAGAAAAGAGAAGGGAAGGATGTGTACCGGGGAAAGCAGCGAGACTCGGAGCTGCGATGAATTTCCTCGCCAACACGCCGGAGGAAGTCGACGGCACGGGGAGCCACCATCAAACAAGCACCCGTCCACCCGCCCCACACCGCGGCCGCGGCGGCGATCGGAGGGAATCTCGCCGTAGCTAACACGCGCGCAGAGAGAGAGAGGAGAGGAGAGAAGGAAGGAAGGGTGCGGGGGGAGGAGTTAGGTTTTTTTTTTTTTGTTTTTGTTTCTAGAAGTTTCGTGGGGGAAGTGTGGGGGGGAGAGAAAATGATGATAGATAGGGGAGAGAGGAGGAGGGTTCGAGAAGGAAAAGACCGGAAGCGGGGGTATAATCGGGAAAAAAGAAGAAGGAAATTTCGGATTTCTGGAGAAAAGGGTGGACCAAAAAGGGCGTGGGGCCCGCAAGATAGAAGAGAGACAGAGAGAGAGGAGAGGGGGCCGTGCGTGTGTAAAGCTTCTCCTTCCGTTCTCTCCTTTCCAGAAGTTTCTCTCTCTCTCTCTCTCTCTCTCCATCCGCAATTTAATTAATTAATTACTTCGATTTTTCTTCCCTTTTCCCGAAGCTTTTCTTCGTGGGAAAGGGGGGGGGGGACAAAAAAACAAAATTGAATCTCAATTTTCTAACGAAACATATATATCGGAAATCGCGGTGCCCTTCGTATGTCTAGAGTACCATGATAATAATAATAATAATAGTAATAATAATAATAATAAATGTCCTATATACTGTGCAGCGCTGCGAATCGATTTTTTTTTTTGTGTCTTTTTGTCTCCTTTTTTTTATATATATTTTATTTTGGGGGTTGGAGTTGGAGTGCCGGGGGGGTTTTGCAGGGTACGAGCGATACGTGTCGGGCGAGTAATGGAAAGGGAAAGGCAAAAGGCACAACACAAATCCCAGCTCCCGAACGGGATAAGGATATCTGAGTGGGGATCGCGAGTTCGCGAAAAAAGCCTCCTCCTTTTTGCGTCGCCCCCCGATGAGGAGGGAGGGAGAGATCGCGCATGTTTTTAACGGTGGAGGATCGCTCGCCTCCAGGTCTCTCTTTTGTAACTTCCGGGGGTGGCCGGACATGTTTGGCTTTGCTCTCATGGTTTCTCGAATGACCTAGAGAAAATGATACAAATGATCGATGCATTGTGGCTCAACATGTAATGCGGTCCATAAACTTTTAATTTGTTCAGTATGATCCTTAAACTCTAGCCTAACGTACAATGTCGATCCCAGACTTCCCTGAAATGTTGGTACATGCTCGGTTTAGTATATGTACTAAATTTTCAGGAATCGCATCGAACAAATTAAAAGTTTAGGGGCCATATTGCATATTGGGCCGAAGTTTATGAACTACATTACACATCGAGCTAAAGTTAATGTATTATTTGTGTCATTATCCCTTTCTCTTGCGCTTCGAAGACATGGGCACGGTCACCCGATTAATTATCTGGAGGCTTAGGGAAACACGCTTTGGAGAACTCGATGGATCGATTAAGTTTGACCTTTCGACACGTGCAAGCGATTCTGGCGCTTGGCCCGACAAAAAAGGGATTTCGCATGAGGTTGGTGACGTCTGGACACGCGACCTCCGCTTTCCTAAACCCCGAAGCTGAATAGATCGCCTCGGATGAGGAGGGAGAGAGATCACGCCTTTTTAAGGTAAAGATTGCATGTCTCTAAGTCTCTTTTGTAACTTTGGGATCGGACATATTTGGCTCGCTTTCAAGGTTTTCCGAAAGATTGATTGAACAATATCGTATTTTTCTTACGGTAACCTGATTAATTACGTAGAGACTCAGGAAACGCTCTAAAAACTCGATGGATCGGTTAAGTTCAATCTTTCGATATGTGCATGTGACCCCTGGCCCTTGGCCAGATGAAAAGGGGATTTTGCACGTGATTGGTGTCGTCCGAACATGCGACCGCTGCTTTTTGGAGTTTGAAGTCTGTTGACACTCCAATCCTGAAGCTAAATATATTATATTCGAGTGAGCTTCTCACGTAAAGAGCCATCGTAATTACGAAAAATTGTAGAAAAAATATTGATGTGACTTTAAATGTAACGTGAGGTAAAATCGAAATTTCAAGCGTCACAAAAGTTTTTTAAAAGTTGAAAATGAAAAAACACATCGGATGCTCATAGGTCATTTTCTTATTTGTCTTTTATACAACGGCTTCTGTATTTTTTTGTTCCTTCCTTGCTGAATTCCGTGATGACAATCTCAATAAATGCAGATTTTAACCTAACGTAGGAAACAATCTAGCCATTCCTTGCCAACTCTCAAAACATTTGACTACTTCGTGAATGGTGATGGCCTTTATTCTTACGGGTACTTTTCTAAAAAGTATTCTTTTTGTTAGTTTTGAAAGAAGAGCATGAGGACACGTGCTTTTTTATGGAATTTTTATTTTTAAGGATGAACTCTAACATCCTCTTTTCAAGAAGGCGGGTATATATATATATAGGGAAAATTTCAATTAAGGACTCTAAGTGGGGCCTTTTTTTCAAAAGAAAACCCCAAGTGGATTTAGTGCCAAATAAGGACCCGAAGTGTCCAAAAAGTCTTAAATAAGGGCCTGGGTCGCCGGCCGGCCAAAATGCCTCCCGGCCGGCGAGAATATTACTATTCCGGCCACGGAACAGTAACTTTTATATTTTTTTTTCCTTTGCTATTTTTTTTTCTTCTCTTCCTCCGCCGGCCATAGTCGGGGTTGGCGGAGGTCGTCGGCCTCAGGCGAGGCCGCCCTCGCCGACGTCGGGCGAGGGCCGTCCTCGCCAGTTGCCGGCGAGGTCGAGCCTCGCCCTCGCCCGGTTCTTCGGCGAGGTCGAGCCTCGCCCAATCCAGGCGAGGGCTCGGCCCCCGTCGGCCGGGCGAGGCTCGACCTCGCCCGCCTCGCCCGACGCCGTGAGGTCGAGCCTCGCCCGGCCGGCGGGGCCGAGCCCTCGCCCGGATCCGGCGAGGCTCGACCTCGCCGGCGTCGGGCGAGGCTCGACCTCACCCGGCACAGCGAGCGAGGTCGAGCAGGCCGGTTCCGCGAGGGCTCGACCTCGCCGGCGTTGGACGAGGCCGGTCTCGCCTTTGTAGGCAAGGCCGGCCTCGCCGGCGCCGGCGAGGTCGAGCCCTCGCTAGAGCGGCCGGCTGCTCACCTCAGCCGTTGCTGGCGAGGCTCGAGCCTCGCCGGCCAGCGAGCCCCTCGCCGGCCGCTAGCGAGGCCGACCTCGCCCAGCCCAGGCGAGGGCGGCCTCGCCTGAGGCCGGCGACCTCCGCCGGCCCCGGCTATGGCCGGCGGAGGAAGAGAAAAAAAAAGAAAAGAAAAAAAACAGAAAAGGAAAAAATAAAAAAAAATTACAAATTTACTATTCCGGTGCCGAAATAATAACATTCTTGCCGGCCGGCAGGCATTTTGCCCGGCCGGCGACCCATGCCCTTATTTGAGATTTTTTTTGACACTTCGGGTCCTTATTTGAGACTAATTGGACACTTCAGGCCCTTATTTGACACTAAATCCACTTGGGGTTCTCTTTTGAGAAAAATGCTCCACTTGAGGTCCTTAATTGGGATTTCCCATATATATATATATATATGTATATATATACCACTAAACTTTCAACATCTATGCAAAACTCGCCCTGAACTTTCATTTTAATACAGCTATCAACCTTTCGTTTATTTCTCTATTTGCATGTGCTCGGCATGTAATTTTTTAAGGGCAAATTTGTAATTTTCCTTGATAGAGAAAAAAGAAGAAGGTAATTAGGTTAATACCACGAAAAACTACGAACTGGTACGCCCGTGTCATATTACCCCCAAACTAATTTCCGTGTCATAAGAACTCCCAGATTGATACATTAGTGCCATATTTACACCCAAAATGGTACATTCGTGTAACATTTATTCCAAACTAATTTTTGTGTAATGAAAATCTCCAAATGGGTACATCCGTGTCACATTTATCCCAAACCAATACACTCGTACCACATTTACCCGGGTAAATGTGGCACCGATGTACATGTTTGGAGATTTTCATTACAAAAAAATTAGTTTGTGATAAATGTAGCGCGAATGTACCATTTTAGAGGTTTTTGTGACACAAAAATTAATTTGGGGTGAATGTGGCATGAGTGTACAAGTTCTGGATTTTTAGTAATATTAGCCCTTATTGTTATCTTCTTGCCAATATTTTCATAAAAATCTTCACATTTCCTTGATGATTTCTGTGTTTTTTCCTCTTGTTGGTACAATAAATGTTCCCCTAAATAGATTAGCAAAATGGAAAAAAAAAAAGAAAAAAAGAAAAAGAAGAGATCTCCACCAAACATCAGGGCCATTGAATGGCAAAATCTTGGCAATGGCCTATATAGGCAGTACATATATGGTCCACACTAGCAAGATTGGTCCCCCTAACACTTATTTTCCAATGCATTGTGTACTTATCGTAGAATTTAAAATAGCAAATTATATTTCCTTTCATAGCTTAAACTTCAATAAGTTGTTGATGATCTCGTTATAACGTCTCGGTACGTGAGATTTCGACACTAACTATCGATATATCACAAATCAAGAACAAAACCAAATTGATTGAGATGCAACGACAAGAGAAAGCGGTGGCCATCTCCTCCACAACATGCTTTGGCTCATGGACTAGGCAGTGAGAAAGCTTTCATGGGATCCATGAAGTTGTCCGGACTCGATCGGTAATCCTTTTCAAGTGGTTGAATTTCACGGGCAAATGGTGTTGATTTGGCTGTAAACTCGTGTTGAAGTGACCAAGATGGATAGATTCTAGAAGTTGGCGGTTCAAATTATGGAAGGAACAAAAGTTGGAAGACGACATTTGATAAGGACACAAGTTGGAGGACTTAATGTATACTAAAAACCCAAACGAGGAAAAAGGGAAAAGGGAAAATTAAACTCGACTCCCTCGCAATTTGCGTAGTGCGTGTACTTTTAAGTTCTTAATGGGCTCAATTCGATTGTTTGGTGATAGTCTTAACTGGGCCGTTTGGGCTTCTTTAATGGCAAGGCGAGTGTGCGATCCACCTTGCAATATTCTTGGCAGGAGTTAGGCAAATATAAGTAAAAAGTGATTAAATTCCAATACGGAGAAAGTATTTCACGTGACGTTACGCAACGTGCGGTGTACCACCCTAATTGAAAGTATGCGATTCCTAAGTATTAAGCATCGAGATGATTGATCGGTCACATTACGTTAGTCACCTTGTGGCTAACACATGACATACTTTTTTCCCGACTCTTGACCACTCATGGCGGGTTGAATATAGATCGGCAATGTCAAGAGCCGGAGATGCCATGCAAGTGAGTAAGTCGGTAGGGTAGTCAAAAATTGGGTCTCCATTTAACTTTATTTATTGTGCAAGTTATCCCAGCCTTCAAACTAGATTGTGGAGTCTTCCAATAAGATAAAGTCATCGTTCATCTTCCATAGTTGGCGTGGGCAGTTCGATAATGTATCGATCTGAGATTTATTTTCTATGGATATCGATACCAAAAAAAAAAAAAGATTCAAATAAAAAACGTACAACATCCAAATCTCACACTCTCTCTCTCTCTCTCTCTATATGTTTTCTATTACTAAATATATTACAGCTAACAAATCATAATTGATTTTTTTTTCGAGTAATTTGATTCGATAGAAAAATTACACTATGTAGATATATACACTTACTTAGAAAAATAACATAGTTTCAATAAATCACTGCTGATTTATAACATGATTCATTAAATTGCTATAAGGATATCAAACCAAATATATAGCCTTGCTAGGGGCAGGCGAGGCTCGCCCTTGCTACTTCGCCGGCCCTCGCCTCTGACTGGTCGCCGAGGTTCATCGGCAGACCCGAGGAAGAAGGGAAGAAAAGAAAAGAAAGAGAAAAAAAAAGAAAAAAAGAGAAAAGAAAAAAGAAAAAAGAATACGAAAAATTATTAAAATATTATTTAAAAATATCCATGTTTATGCCGGTCATCAGTAATTTCCGGTCAAAATTGACTAGATGGGTTGAATTGACATAAATGAAAATGGTTAAGGACTGAATTGTCACAATTATAATAAATTTAAGATTTTTTTTTTTATGATTTTTCAATTCAATTGGACAAACCGACAATGGTGGGAGACTTTTCATAGGAAGAATTCACCGGTGTCCAAAATGAGACGCCACGACTAGGCACGCCCTAACTTGTTTATTATTGGATAGAGTCTCCGCATAGACTTCCTCTATTAATCTGTGCACGTGGTGTGGAGCTACATCATTGCTTGCGCCTACGAAGTAAAGCAGTCTTTGTGGAAAGTTTATGGTCTTCTCTCGTCGCATGAAGGTGCCTACTTTGTCTAAAGTCGAAGGTTTCGATCGCGACGTGATCCCTTTTCTCTGCACTCTTTTCACGCGCTAGTTCATTCACACACGTCTAGGAATGAAGCTCCGGCATCACAAGTGGTCGAGTAATTTGAACGAGGGGGAAATTGTCGAGAAGGTGCCGGAATCTCTGTTTCGGCTCTAAGTAAGACCTTAAAATGTTTTATCTTAGTTCTCGTCTGGATCTCGAAATCACTAAAATGTAAAATTATCAGAAGGTATTCTCTCTTTCTGAGGAAGACAGAAATACAAGGGGATTGGGGGTGCAAGGCATGTGGGGGCATCGGCACATTTATATGCCCGGATGGGACTAATTATAGGGGTTGTGTCTTGCCCTTGGAGAGCTCCCTTTTAAGTCCATATTACAGATGGAATAATGTATATCGACACGATGACGACGGAGTTATAGTCATCGATGTAGCAAATTTGTAAGTGTTTGGAGCAATTTGAGCATCATCACTCTTTATTCATGAAATAAAACATGGGCAGTATTCATGTGTCCGCGTTATGCATGATTAGACACTCTTTCTCTATTTGTCAAAAAAAGGCTGGTATAATTCTTCGAATGATACTCAATTCGTCTTCAACCTATCTTTTAACTCGTTCTCAACATCGTGCGAAGACTACCAAAAAACATTCACGCTGTTTCGCCGGTTTTATCCCGTCGAAAATCTTTCACCGAACGCTGCGTTTCGGATTTTATTAGAGGAGACTAGGGTCTTGAATTAAGCTCGGACAGAGAATGTCAAATGCGTTTATTAAGCCCAACTTATGTCTTACAACTTAACTCGATAATACACCAAATTCGACAATACTAACAATGAGATGACAACTTGCAAATGCCGAGACCAAGCTATATCGGAATCTAATCAACGACACAACTAATATATGACATTGCAATTCAAGGTACGCCATAATCTAATCAATGACGTGACTTGAGAGAATATAGCTAGAATCTAATCAACAGCTATATTCCAAGTACAACGCCGGAATTTAATCGACGACGCTGAACTGGTGGCACAACACTGGAATTTAATCAACAATGCTGGACCTGACAAAGACTCTCGCCGGAATTGAAATTACAACGTGGAATCTGAAAACTATAACTTTGACTACTCCTAATGTGCTGAAAGTAAAGATAGATAAAAGATGTGTTGTGTTGTTCCGGGGGGTTCTACGTTGGAAATCCTTGACTATTTATAGAGCAGCCTGATAACTGTTGACTGGCCACTTCTTCTTGAAAGTCGTTTTCTACTTCCTTATGTTTCGTACTTTAACCGCTTCTTGACTTGTCGATGTTGCTTACGCTCCTTGGGCATTACGTAATAGCTGATTTTCTTCTACGTGTCTCTTTATTCCTTGCTGTTTCCTAAATTTCATTCTTTAACTTCCTTGATCTTCACGCCCACGGTCATGTCTTTACCTTTTGACGCGTGGAAATGAATTTCTTTACCACGTGTCACCATGTATTTAATCCATGATTTCAGACTCATCGACATCACGTGCAAAGCTCATGATTTTGGACTTATCGACGTCATGTGCAAGGCCCGTGATTTTAGACTTGTTGACACTTTTATGACGTGTCCTGTCGATAACTGCTCCAAATCCCAATGCCTCTAGGCTTGATTCACGGTCTTTCTCCGGATTCATGCTATGTGGGCCGTGTTTTATGTCCTTTGTGACTTGCAACCGGCCCACTCCCACTAGGGGTAATTTTGAATGTCAACACACGCAATTCACTAACTCGCGCCGTCTCGAACTTAACATATGTCCTGACATAAAGCTCAATAAAGATTAGACGAGCGAGCCTGAACCGTGTTCTGATTCAATCAAATTAGAACGGATCTCAAGCGAAACAATATCCACATTTGAAAATTCTCTCCAGGGTTGACCTAAACGAAGTCTTCGTCTCGATCCAGTTAACATTTTTCCCCATGTCTGAAATACGACATGGATGGACAATGTCGACAGAAAGTCATTCGTCCTATCTTATTAGTTACTTGGCGTAGGATCAACATCAAAGAGGAAGGGACCTAGAACAACTCACACATCTAAGCACCACCACTCGTTCATAGATAAGTGTTGGAATTTCTCTCCTCCCCGAGAATTACGGGTCTAGAATCCGAATATCCGACCTAATATCCCATGGAAGGACAATGTCTTCCCCCCTCTCACCGTAGCAGGAGGAGATTTTCTTCGGCCACCTCCTCATCAGCGGGGCTGCAAATCGTCGGGCACCCTTCCGAGTGTCTCCCACTCGGAGTAACCCTAAGGGCTTGGGCAAGCCGCCCTGTCGGTGGAGTGTCCGCAGACACACGACGGATTTCGTGCATTCATAATTTGATCCTGACACCCGACAAATATCGAATGCAAACTATTTCATTTTCAAAATTCGTGTGAGGAGTCTCGATTGACTAGTGCCCTAAGAGAAGTGTTTTAACATTCTCCTCAATAAGAAAAAGGAAAAATATCGTGGACCGCAACCTTGGAAAAACCAAGTCTACTCGAATGCCACGAATTCCAGCTTTAAATTAACGAAGCAAAAGCTCGTCTTGAGGTCCCTGGCTTTTTATATGAGCACGGCTACTTTGACCCAATTCAATCTTTAAACTTTAGGGAAATTATCATTGGAGTGCCGTGACCCACTCAAACAGTTGGATAACTTCGCCGCTGATGAAGTTTATACATACTCAATCACATGCTTACATTCAAATCACAACAATTTCAACACGGATAGCCCTAAGCAACGAGTGTCACCTTACAAAATGATTCTAAGTGTTATCAGACTCGACATGGTACAGGACCGAGTCAAGTGCGTAGACGACGCAGGATGTCACGATCGATGGTAGGAGGTTTACCCCCGCTTTTGCTTAAAGTTGCACGAGCATTGGTCGATGGTCACGGACACGACATTGAGATCATCGTCTGTGGAAGCTGAACTTTTTACGTGGCGGGATTCATGAGCGAGATGCAGACAGCAACGAGTACGACGCAATTTATCCTCGCGTCCTTACTGTTTTGCTTGACTGGTCTGTTACCACGTTAAAATGGGCCATAGAGTTCCACAATTCTCCCTGGAAATGTCTGGCGCAAGAGGCTCATGCAACCCCCTACGTTGTTACGAGTCAAGGTCCTCGAAAGACCGGCACAGCACGTTAGTCATAGTTTTACCATTTCAATTCCTCTATTTAAATGGAGCCTTCGGAAATGAACTGGAGCACCAAACTTGAGTTTCTGACATTAGCAGGCCTTGCTACATGTTCATTTCCCCAGCATTACAAAATATGAGGTTCCTTACGAATCTGTCCGTCCCCTCTTTCTTCTTCCTGCTAATTGGCTGCTCGACTCTCGCTCAGGCAGCTAGGTTTGATATCACCAACAACTGCCCCTACACCGTGTGGGCTGCCGCCGTTCCGGGTGGTGGGAGGCAGCTCGACCGTGGGCAGACGTGGCCCCTCGACGTCGCCGCCGGCACAAAGGCCGCTCGGATCTGGGCCCGCACCAACTGCCGCTTCGACGGGGCTGGGAGGGGAAGCTGCCAGACCGGTGACTGCGGCGGGCTCCTCCTGTGCCAGGCCTATGGCGTGTCCCCAAACACACTGGCTGAGTTCGCCCTGAACCAGTACATGAACAGGGACTTCATCGACATGTCCCTCATCGAGGGGTTCAACGTCCCGATGGAGTTCAGCTCGACCTCCGGCGGGTGCAACCGGGTGATCAAGTGCACGGCCGACATCATAGGGCAGTGCCCGGCCGCGCTGAAGGTCTCGGGCGGGTGCAACGGGCCGTGCCCGATTTTCAAGACGAACGAGTATTGTTGCAATTCCGGTAGTTGTGGGCCGACTGATTATTCCAGGTACTTCAAAGGTAAGTGTCCGGATGCTTATAGTTACCCCAAGGATGATCCTACCAGTCTTTTCACCTGCCCTGGAGGGACAAATTATAAGGTTGTCTTCTGTCCTTGAAGACATATGACTAATAAGAAGTTCATCCTTCCATGATGAGCGAAGTTCCAAGGCAAATAAAACCCGATATATATAGCTTGTAACAGATGCATAATGAAGCCCTTCTCTCGATGAGCACGGTGTGATGTGCAGGGGAGGATATATACGTAAATAACTGCATGTAATTTCTCGTGCCGATTTTATGTCAGTACTTCGGTTTTGTGTTAGATCATTCTACGCTGACAGAGCGGCGGGCATGACCACTAATGTTATTTTGAGCAGAAGGCGTCGTGATTTGAACACGGGATCGACCGCATTCATACGAAGCACTTAATCACTCAGGTTACGTATGGCTGCCAGAACAAAAGTAATAGGATAGGATAGGGTAAAGCGAGATAAAATCCTTCGGACTTTCTAATACCTATCATTTGTTTGGAAAGTAATTGAATACAATGGCGGAGATATTGTTGTCAACGGAGTGAAACCTTAAAGTAGCAGGGCGGTCATATCTGAATTTTTCCATCCGAGATCTGTCACCAAATACTAGATAGGATATAACCCTTCTTACTTAGGCCACCGGACGCGCCGTTCGGTCTTCTAAAATAATTTGGGGAGTGCACGTCTTTCTTAACTGTACATCATGGCCTGCCCTTCCAAAGTCGGTTCGAAGCAATCTAAATAAAGAAAATTTCTGGTACTTCGGATCTTTAGTCAGATGCAGCAATTTTCTCAAGTCATTTGAATGTCTAGACACGTGAACTGTTACGTGGAAAAATAATAAGAGGACCATAGCCATAGACACTACCATGATCATAAGCCTGCACATGCAATGGACAAAAGTTCTTCGTGTAAGCCTCGTTGTAAATGGAAGGATTAGGACATCGAATTTTAAGTACGGGTGTGCCGACTTGTCAAAACCGGTCGACGAGTTTCTTCAAAAGACCCGTCTTTGACCCAAAACAGTTTCGTTCATATCGTCTTCTGATCTGAATCATTATGAACCCACTGACACAAAAGAAATGCCCAAGTCTTCGACCATCGACTCGGGCTTAAAAAGACCAAGTAAAATACGATAAAGGTAAAAATTTGAAGCCTCTTAGTCGGCAAGTATAGTTAGTCGACGGAGTTAGTGGCTTTAGCTGACGAAAAATATAACAGATACTGACCAAGTCCTGGAGCATGGGCGTGGGATGAAACTCGGTTTAGTCGACAAAAGGCAAAACTAACGAAATCTATAATGAACTGGATGAAAAATGGTTATTTAAGTGATGGATCCGACTAGGCGAGGGTCGCTGGCCCTCGCTTGTGGCCGGCGACCTCATCGGGTAGAGTTGTAAAAAGAAAAGAAAAGAAAAGAAAATAACTAAAACATTTGAAACATATATCAATATTATTAAAAATTATTCACGTTAGCGTCGGTTGTGCAACGTAAGATGGCCGGCCGGCGTCCACGTTGGCGATTTCCTATCAAAATTGGCCGCATGGACTCAATTGGCAAAATGTGAAAAGGTTTGGGACTCAATTGGCATAATTAATAGGTTTACGGCTGAATTGACGAAAGTGCAATAGATTTAGGATTTTTTGGATAAGTTTCCACTGGACAAAGTGTGGAGACTGCCAAAAAAATTCTTACTTTACTAATTTGCATCGTATTAAACTGAATACATGTCCTATTAGACTATTGAGTTGCAATCAAACTAAAATGGATCTTTAGCGAAACAATATCCGCATTAAGTGGGGGGTTTTTGTAGAGTTGCCTCATATCCGATGTTGACCTAGAGCAAGTCTTCGTCTCGATTCATTGAACATTTTTTTTCCATGTCTTGATAGTTGATATGACAAGGTGGTCGACAAAAAGTCATTTGTCCTTATTTTATCAGTTAGCGTTCAAGTCATGGATTTTCTGTTCTCCCCTAGAATCCGAATATCCAACCTAAAATCCCATTGAAGGACTATATCTTCCTCTCATCATAGTAGGAGGAGATTTTCTACGACAACCATTCTGTTTGGCGGGCTGTGTATCATTGACACCCTTCCGAGTGTCTCCCACTCAGAGTAATCATAGGGCTTAGGCAAACCGCCCTGTCAATGGAATGTTCATAGACACATGATAGATTTCGTGCATTCATGAGTATTAGTTAATCAGAATAGCTCGAATAACAGTATTATTTATTAAAAAAACAGGATTTACAATTGCTGCAATTTCATGCAATATGTGTTAATTATATATTTTAGAGAAAAGACGCTAAAAACGCCATAACATTTCTATGACACTTACTTTAGTGCAAAAAATTTTCGACGGATCATTTTAGTGCCATTTTGGTAAAAAGAAAAATTCACTTAGGTGCTAGCTTTGATTTGTGATGCCGAAAATCCGGCGTGACATTTAACTTTTTTTTCCAAATGGCGTGACTTGCTAACAATAATCATAAATGCACTAAAACGATGTTGCTACACGTGTTTGCCCCAAATTTAACAAAATTGGGGACAAATCGGCCGAATATCTCCTCTTCTTCAAACCCGAATTCAGACCAAAGCATTTTGGGGCAAAATTAAGAACAAACCGAGGATTTGGGGTAAAATTAGTAGTTGAAACTTGCAATGGAGGTTTGCTACTTTATTTGTGTGATTTTGTTTTGCCGGAATTGAAATTTTCCAGTGGAAGAGGACATCCGCAAAACCAACCCAAATGAAAACTCACAACATTTTTCTTTGCAATGTCTAAACAAAGAGAGGATTAAAAAAAATTTACACAAGCATGAGAAAAGATGAGATGTACCCAAGAAGGAGTCAGATCTCCCTTCGAATTGCCTAAGTTATTTTGTCTGTGGGTGTTTGCTAGAAGCCCGTCAGTTTATCTGAGAGAGAGAGAGAGTGAGTTTTAATATGAAATGTGATCCTTTGTTAAGAATGGCTACGTCAAAGTCCACGTTGGACTTTTTCTTTTTTTAATGAAAAAACTACATAGAAGTCACAATTCTATTAAAAGAAGCCACGAAGGACGAATAGCCGGAATTTGTCGCCGGAGGCACTTTAGTGATCATTTTTCCATCGATGTAGCATTTAAGTGATTGCTTGAAAAGTTTTGATAGTAAAGTGAGTGTTGCGTGAAAATTATGGCACATCTGATATCTTATTTTCAAATATCTTAATAAGTTGCAACCACTTTCCCAACTAAAGTTACTAAAAAAAAAGTTGTCCCAAATAGCCTCTCTGAATAGCATCGTGTTTTCTGACAAAAACAAAAAAGGAATAGCATCATGTTTATTCGATCGACATATTCGCACGGATCAACTTTCAAAATGAGAAATGCGGTTAGAGCTGAGCTCATGGTCTGTATAAGCTCAACTTTTACGAGGCAGCTGATGAGAGAGATGTAGACAATGATCAAAAGAATAAAAATTTTCCAAGGGCAGAATTCTAGAATGAAATAAAAAAAATTAAAAAGGCAAACAATACCATACGAGAAAAGGGTAACAGAAAACATATGACTCAGGCAAGCCCGTACACTATAGGCAAGCCCCTTGGGAAAAATATTACAAGTCAAGGTCTTCGAAGACCCGCTTAATACTTTAGTCGATATTTAACTGTTCAATCCCTCTATTTTATATGGAGCCTTTGGTAACGCGCTAAAGCACCAAGCTTGAAACGCTTCTATACATTCGTTTCCCCACTATTACAAAATATGAGGTTCTTCACAAATCTCTCCATCCCCTCTTTCTTTCTTCTTCCTACTAATTAGCTGCTCGACTCTCTCTCAAGCAGCTAGGTTTGACATCACCAACAACTGCCCCTACACTGTGTGGGCCGCCGCCGTCCTGGGCGGCGGGAGGCAGCTCAATGGTGGCCAGACGTGGCCCCTCGACATCAAGGCTGGCACGACGGCCGCGCGGATTTGGGCCCGCACCAACTGCCGCTTCGACAGGGCCGGCGGGGGAAGCTGCGAGACCGGTGATTGTGGCAGGCTCCTCCAGTGCCAGGCCTACGGGAAGACCCCGAACACGCTCGCCGAGTTCGCCCTGAACCAGTACATGAACATGTACTTCATCGACATGTCGCTCATTGACGGGTTCAACGTCCCGATGGAGTTCAGCTCGACCTCCGGCGGGTGCAACCGGGTGATCAAGTGCACGGCCGACATCATAGGGCAGTGCCCGGCCGTGCTGAAGGTCCCAGGCGGGTGCAACGGGCCGTGCCCGGTTTTCAAGAAGGATCAGTACTGCTGCAACTCCAGCAGTTGCGGGCCCACCGATTACTCCCGGTACTTCAAACAAAGGTACCCGAATGCTTATAGTTACCCCAAGGATGATGCTACCGGTGTTTTCACTTGCCCCGGAGGGACAAATTGTAAGGTTGTCTTCTGTCCTTGAAGACATGACTAATAAGCAACTTCATCCTTACATGATGAGCGAAGTTCCAAGACAAATAAAGCCCGTTATGTACCTTGAAGCAGACGCATAAATGAAGTCTTCTCTCGATGAGCACTGTATATAATGTGCAGGGGAGAATATAAAAATAAATAAATGCATGTAAGTTCTCATGGGAATGTTAAAAAGTAGTTCTATTTTCTGTTTGTTCATTGTACGCCAGTAGAACGGACGGCGCGACTACAAATGTTTTTTTGAGTAGAAAGCATCGTGATTTGAACATGCTATCTACCGCGCTCATACTAAGCATTCAACCACTTAGGCGAAGTCTAACCGCCCCGACAAGTATTAGGATAAGATAAGATAATGTAAAATGTGATAAATTTCATCGAACCTTTTTATAGTTTGGAAAATAAACGAGTATAATGCCCGAGATATTGTCATAATTATTTATCCGATATGAAGTGTATCGCCAAATGACTCAAATCTATTGCACTTTACCAATTCAGTCGTAAACTTTTCAATTTTGCCAATTGAGTCGTAAACCTTTTCACGATAGCCAATAGAGTCCATCTGGCCAATTTTAACCGGAAATCGTGGATGTGGACACCGGTAGACCTGTTAAACGGGTGGGTTGGGTCATAAATGGTCCGACCCAAATTGACCCATTAACCCGTTTATGACCCATTTATTCATAGTGTAAATATCTCAACCCATACCCGACCCGATCCATACCCAACCCATACCCGACCCGACCCATATTGCTAAAACACTTTTATATTTAACCTAATCTAGGAATACTTGTTTCTTATGATTTTTTTTAAAAAAATTATACTGCTAAAACATTTTATGCAATACAAAGCTAGTGAAAAAATTTTATAATTTTTTTTAAAATTGAGGTTCTGTTTGTTTTACGAAAAATGCGACATTTCTAGAAAATATTTTTCATAAAGTCATTATCCAAGAAAATAAAAAAATTAATATTTTTTAATTTTTTTAAAACGAATTTTTAATTATTATTTTTTTATTATTTTTCCTTTATTTTTGGCCGATCGCCGGACGCCGTGGCCGGCGACCGACCACAGGCGAGGACGAGCTCGCCGGAGGCCGGCGAAGCTTGTTCTCGCCAATCTGGCGAGGACGAGCTCGCCGGAGGCTGGCGAAGCTCGTTCTCGCCGATCTGGCGAGGCCGAGGCCACGCCGGCCTCAGGCAAGGCTCCAACCTCGTCGGGATTCGGCGAGCCTCGAGGTCGCCGGAATCGGGCGACGGCCGCCCGAGGTCGCGCGACCCGGGCGACGGCCGCCCGAGGTCGCGCGACCCGGGCGGCCGTCGCCGCATCGTGCGACCCCGCCAAGGGTCGCCTGGCCTCGGGCGACCGCCGGCGGCGGCGGATCTGGCTCGCCGGGGGTTGCCCGACCTCGAGCGACGGCCGTCGGCGGCCGGCTCCGGCGATGGATAGGTTTTGTTTTTTTTTTAATAAATAAGATAATTCTCAAAGTGCATTTGCAAAAAAAAATTCACCAAACACTATATTTTGGCAAAAGTAGCTTTACAAAATATTTTTACCAAACACCATTTGCATTTCCTCAATGGGCTTTCACCCAAAGGTATTTGCATTCCCCCAAGTAGCATTTTCAAAGTTGAACCAAACAGGCCCTAAGCCTATGGTTAAAGAATCCAGGACAAGCCCGGCATGCCTAGTTCTTAAATCGTGCGACGAATTACAGGCGTGTTGGCAGGTTGGAACCAATTAAGTTTCTTCAGAAGACCTGTCTCGTCCCAAAACAATTACATTCATATCATCTTTTGATATCAATAATTAGGGAAAATGATACAAACGGTTATTGATCTTTAGCTCAATATGTAATGTGATTCTCTGAACTTTTAATTTATTCAATACGGTCCCAAAAATTGAGCCCATCTGATCGCTTTGGTTCTGGATTCTTTTTACAGCCCCAGTTTTAGGATCATCGGATAAGGATGAGGAAGATCGAGCAACCTATTCCGTTCTTGGGTCGCAGCCAAAGTTCAATCGTCTCACGAAATAGCCCAGTGGTTTTCAGTCATGGAAGAACTAGACAAGGATTTTTATGCTAGACACTAGGTTCAGACTTGTCTACGCCCCACGACTTGGACTTTTCTTTTCTTTTTGAGTTAATACCACGAAAAACCCTAAATAGATACATTTGTAACAAATTTATCCAAAATTAATTTTTTATTATGAAAAATCTCAAACTGATACACCTGTGATAATTTTATCATATGTTAGTTTTCGTTAGATTTTACAGTTAAATTTCTGAGTTGTATAATACGTGGTAGTTGACGGGTGTACCAGTTTGGGTTTTACCCTCTATCTATTACAGGTGTACCATTTTATGATTTTTCGTGATATTAATCCAATTTAACGGAAGGTAAATTTGTCACAAATGTACCAGTTTGGGGTTTTTGGTGGTAAAAAAATTTGTTTAAGATAAATTTGTCATAAGTGTACCAGTTTGGAGTTTTTGATAGTTAATAAATTAGTTTGAGGTAAATTTGTCATTGGTGTACTAGTTTGGGGTTTTTCGTGATATTAACAATTTCTTTTTTCAACTAGCAAAATCCAAGCCCGTGTTGGAATATGTCTCTAAATGGCTTTGATGATGACAAAACTTAATCTAATTATCTCCTGAAATTATTTAAGTGTGCGGGGGTTCATATTTAAACCGTGAAAAGTTTATGTCCTAATTCTACCGGCATTTGCGTCCAATTACACTAAAGTCTAGAAATTCTGCAGAATAAAGGGTGTCCAAGCACTTGGCTTTAGGGGTGTCAATGGGTCGGGTCGGGTTTTCATGATACCTGTCCCAACCCGAAATATACAGGGTCACGCTCGACCCGACCGGACCCAACCCAAGACCCTGTTCAACATATACTCCAAGAATAGGGTCGGGTCGGGTCGGGTCTGTCCAGGTCGGGTTTAGGGTCACAACTGATGCGTTTCTTCGCTCGACAGTCCCCTCCCAGTTCGCCCATCATCCACACCGAATCCCCCGTCTCTCCTCGGGACAGGCTTAGACTTCTCGTTATTCGGCGTCGTCGACACCGGCGACGGGGACTGTGACGGAGACGGAGCAGGCGACGGAGGCGGCGCTGCTCTAGCGCTCCTCGCGGCCAGCATCCTCTTCTCGACCACGGTTGCCATGAGCTCCCTCTGCATCCGGCGACCGTCCTCCGGCGACGAGCCCCCGGCAGCGGCGGCCGAGGCGGCGGCGTCCCTGGGCTTGCTCCGCTTGGGCTCCGGCAGCGAGTGCTGCATGCTGAGGCGCAGCGCCATCTTCAGGTCCTCCTCCTCTTGATCCACCATCAGCGACCGCCCCCCGCCGGCCCCGTGGAAAGGGATCTAAAAAAAAAAGCGTCGAGGAGAAGAAGCAGAAGAAGAAGTGATCTAGGGTTTCTCGCCGGGCGCTGCCTCGGCTCCTCCATCGTCGGCGTCGTCGAATTGGCGGCGACTCGCAGAGATCAACGGCAAAGGGGGGATCAATCGCGCCGGGGGGAAACGGTCGGAATCGAAGAGGGCGTGGGAGGCGAGGAAGATCAGGTCGTCCTCCGATCTCCTGCCGCGGTTGAGGCTGAACTGGATGGAAAGTGAAAGGGGGGAGATAGATGTTCACGGCCGAGAGAGAAGAAGCGAAGGGGAGAGAGAATGGGAGAGAGACTGAGAGAGGGAGATGGGTCGGTCCAGAGTGTCAATGGGTCGGCCCATCTAACCCCAACCCTTTGATACCTCAAATTTTAGGGCCCTATTTCAAGAAAATAAAAATCCGACCCCAAAATACCCCAAATTTTAGGACCTGGCTGGGCTGGCGAGGGTCGGACCGGGCCGGCGCGGGTCTTTTTGACACCCCTACTTGGCTTTGCAAAATAGTCAAACTTGATTGTCAGAGTATTTTCCATATATGGATTTGACGATTGTTGGAATTTCTAAATTGAAGCCCCGCTCATGACATTAAAGTATGATATTCTAGTGTTATTTATGCTAGAAATCACACACATTCGCTAAAGAGATCGGTGAGACGGTGTTGTCAAAACCTGCCATCATCAAAAGAAGATAACATGTCTCAATAGAAAACCTAACCGACAGCTCAAATTGATGGAAGGTTCTGCATGTGTTTTTCAATAAATTTTTTTTCAAGACTCTGTCTATAGAGAATTAGAGGGACATAATGGCCACATGATGCAAGTGTGTAGTTCGAATCTGGAGCTTTACGAATTGAAGTTCAGCCAGAAGTGATATAATTGAGAAGGGCAAAAGCGAGAGAATTTATGCATTGTTGAGAGGACCTTGAGCCGTCTCTTTGGTAAGCTTGTCGACTCCGTTTTTTTCTTCTTTTCGGATAATACAGAGTGACGATCTCATTTGTAACACATGAGAGAAGTTACCGTACTTTAGGCTCCGTTCTTTTGGCGGAAAATATTCTTCTTTTGAAAAATATTTTCCCCGAAGTCATTTTCCTGAAAAATATTTTCCCGGAACATAATTTTCCGGTGTTCGGCGACCAATATGAAAAAGTTTCGGAAAATATTTTTCACCGGCGATCGGTGACCGGCGGCGGCGACCGGTGACTGCGGCGGTGGCCGGAGACCGGCGGCGGTGGCGGCCGGCGGCGACGGGTGGCGGCCCGCAACCGGTGGCGATGGCGGCGGCCGCGCGACTGGCCGCGGCGGCGGCGGCAGTGGCGACCGGCCAGCGACCGGCGATCAACTTCCTCTCCCACGGAAAATATTTTCCCTCCCGTGGGCAATTTTGCCTTCAATTTAGGGGAAAATGATTTTCTCTTTGTGAAAAGAGGAAATCATTTTCCTCAAAACAATGAAAGATTTGAGGGTGGGGAAGGAAAATGTTTTCCGTGGGAAAAAATTTTCCGCCCCCGAACACCGGAAAATGTGGAAAATATTTTTCGAAAAAATATTTTTTCGCAAACGAACACAGCCTAAGTGAAGACATTTGTTTGGATGTGAGACAAAAAGTATGCAACGACTCTGTGAGTATTTAGAGATGTGTTCTACAGTTTGGGAAGAGAGTCAGTGGATTTGACCTATTTGGGCAGTTAAAGTTGGAAATACCATTCCAATTTCTTTTTCCTTTAACTCGTTAATTTCCGTTGTTTACATTACAAGTTTAGTTCGCGCATAGAAGCAATTTTTTTTTGGGGTTGGTTCTACAAATTTACTTTGTGATTTCTTGAAAAACCAATTCACCCCCTACTATTCATGTTATGCCCATCTAATGACCAATTCTACCTTAAAGATGATACAAATGCTAGTCAGACCTAGCTACAAAAGAAATGGGAATTGCCAAGTGTACGGTGAACACAATTTCGGACAGTTTGATATATATAAATCGAGATTCGTAAAATGTCGTCGTTATTTTTTGGTAATCTAATCAAGATAACCTCTCAATCGGATAATCTCTCGAGATATTCCAATTACCCTATCACCGCATATGAAATGAGGATGTAAAAGCTTGATTCTTATAGCCCATTTGGTATAACCATGTCAGTCTTGTAGTTGGGCTGGGATACGATTGTGTTGTGAAGTGTTATCATTTGTGTTTGTGGCGACTACAATACCTAAAAAATTGGGTGGGTAGGCTTTTTAAAAGGTAAAGTAAGTTAATGCAGCTGTGACCGTAGCTTTTTCATGACTGATGGTGCTACATAAAAGTTAAACAAACAATGTGCAAGTATGTGATAAATCAAAGTTAGGCCATCAATCACAGCACGAGCTTCATTTAAATTGTTTCAAAACCCATGTGCTCAGAAAATAAATGCTATACAAACAATGTCCAAGCATGTGACCATAGCTTTTTCTTTGGTTTATGTTAACTTACAAAGGGAGGTCAAAACCTATGTGCTCAGGAAAATGACATAAGATGAGTAATGCCCGATATACTAAGATCAATCCAATAAATCAGTACACGAAAAAACGAGGCAAATCATTTAATAATAGGACTTTTAAAGAAATAAATCATATTCAATACTCTATAAAAATGTCCTACACTTATTATTAAAAGGGATAATACCATGAGAAACCCCAAACTGATAAATTTATGACAAATTTACCAAAAATTAATTTTTTTACCATAAAAAATCCTAAACTGATACACCTGTGACAATTTTACCCTCTATTAGTTTCTGTTAAATTTTACTATTAAATTTCTGAGTTAGATGACACGTGGCAGTTGATGGATGTACCAGTTTGGGGTTTTACCCTCCGTCTGTCACAGATGTACTATTTTGTGAATTTTCGTAATATTAATCCAATTTAACGGAGAGTAAATTTGTCACAAATGTACAAGTTTGGGGTTTTTGGCTATCAAAAAATTAGTTTAGGGTAAATTTATCATAAATGTACATGTTTTGGGAGTTTTATGGTCAAAAAATTAATTTGAGGTAAATTAATCATATATGTACTAATTTAAGATTTTTCGCGTAATTAACCCTTATAAAAATCCATTGCAGGTTAGATTCACCCTGCACAAATTAGTCCAATGCATCTACACCGTTGGATCTCGTGGGGTTCATATGATCCAGGTGCACCTAACAGATCCGGCACTACCCAAAGAACGAACGTGCTTGCCAGCGTGGCAAAAGTACGGGCCCACAGCCTCCCACGTGGACAACCTTCATTGGCGCCGCATGGGGACTGTACGAAGTCAACGGCGGTCTCCTCCTCCTTTCTCGGCTGGACGGCCGGCCTCCTGTCCCCCTGATCCGGTTCGTATCCAGACCGGCTCTTCCCGTGGCAACCTGCGTATAAATATCTCGGCAAGTCAATTACTTCGTCCCCCGTTTGATTCTTCATCGTCTACGTCGTTCGAAAGATCCCAGAAACCCAACAAAGGTGGTCGAATCTGCTCTGTCCGTCCGTCCGGTCCGGAAACCAAAATGCCTCAGGGAAAGCTCGAAGTCCTCCTCGTTGGTGCCAGAAGCCTCGAGAACACGGAGTTTCTCAGTATGCTTGCAGTTACCCTAAAGAAGATCTGACCGGCACATTTATATGCCCGGATGCGACAAATTATGGCGGTCGTGTCTTGCCCTTAGAGAGCTCCTTTCAAAACCATATTACAAATGGAATAATGTGTACCGACACGACAACGATAGAGTTATAGTCATCGACGTAGCAATTACATAAGTGTTCGGAGCAATTTGAGCACCGTCACTCTTTATTCATGAAATAAAATATGAAAAGTATTCATGAGTCCGCCTTATGTATGATCAGACACTGTTTCCCTACGTGACGAAAAAAAGGCTAGTGTTATTTTTCGAATGATATTCGATTCATCCTTAACCTTTCTTTAACTCGTTCTCAACATCGTGTGAAGACTCCTAAAAAATATTCACGCAATTCACTAATTTGCGCCGTATCGAACTTAATATATGTCTCGACGTAAAGCTCGATGAAAGATTAGACGAGCGAGGTCAACCGCGTTCTAATTCAATCAAATTAGAATGGATCTTAACCGAAACAATATCCACATCTAGAAATTCTCTCCAAGGTTGACCTAAACAAAGTCTTCGTCTCGTTCCGGTTAGCATTTTTCCCATGTCTTGATATGACAAGGATGGACAACGTCGACAGAAGGTCAATCGTCCTATCTTATTAGTTACTTAGCGTAGAATCAACAATCAACATCATAGAGGAAGGGACCTGGAACAACTCCCACATCTAAGCACCACCACTCGTTCAAAGTGTTGGAATTTCTCTCCTCCCCGCGAATTACGGGTCTAGAATCCGAATATCCGACCTAATATCCCATGGAAGGACAATGTCTTCCTCCCTCTCACAGTAGCAAGAGGAGATTTTCTTCAGCCGCCCTCCTTATCGGCGGGGCTGTAAATCGCCAGGCACCCTTCCGAGTGCCTCCCACTCGGAATAACCCTAAGGGCTTAGTCATGCCGCCCCGTTGGTGGAATGACCGTAGACACACGACGGATTTCGTGCATTCGTAATTTGATCCTAACACTTGACAGATATCGAATGTAAACGATTTCATTTGCAAAATTCATGCGAGGAGTCTTGATTGACCAGTGCCCTAAGAGAAGTGTTTTAACATTCTCCACAATAAGAAAAAGGAAAAAATATCGCGGACCGCAACCTTGGGAATACCAAGTCTACTCGAATGCCACGAATTTCAGCTTTAAATTAATGAAAGCAAAGCTCGTCCTGAGGTCCTTGGCTTTTCTTAGAGCACGGCTTCTTTGACCCAATTCAATCTTTAAACTTCAGGGAAATTATCATTGGAGTGCCGTGACATCTCAAACAGTTGGATAACTTCGCCGCTGACGAAGGAAGTTTAGACATACTCAATCACATGCTTACATTCAAATCACGACAATTTCAGCACGAATAGCCCTAATCAACGAATGCCACCGGACAGAATGATTCTAAGTGTTATGTTAGACTCGACATTGTATTGGATTGGACCGGTCAAGTGCGTAGTCGACGCGGGATGTCTCGATCGATGTTAGGAGTTTTACACCCACGTTGCTTAAAGTTGCACGAGCAGTGGTCGATGGTCACGGACACGACATCGAGATCATCGGCTGTAGAAGCTGAACTTTTTACGGTGCGGGATTCATGAGTGAGATGCAGGCAACAACATTTACGACGCAGTTTATCCTCGTGTCCTTACTGTTTTGCTCGACTGGTCTGTTACCACGTTAAAATGGGCCACGTTAGTTCCACTATTCTCCATGGAAATGTCTGGCGCAAGAGTCTCATGCAACCCCCTACGTTGTTACAAGTCAAGGTCCTCGAAAGACCGGCACAACATGTTAGTCGTCGTTCTACCATTTCAATTCCTCTATTTATATGGAGCCTTCGGTAATGAGTTGAAGCACCAAACTTGAATTCTGACATTAGTAGGCCTTGCTACATGTTCATTTCCCCAGCATTACAAAATATGAGGTTCCTCACGAATCTGTCCGTCCCCTCTTTCTTCTTCTTCCTGCTAATTGGCTGCTCGACTCTCGCTCAGGCAGCTAGGTTTGACATCACCAACAACTGCCCCTACACCGTGTGGGCCGCCGCCGTTCCGGGTGGCGGGAGGCAGCTCGACCGTGGGCAGACGTGGCCCCTCGATGTCGCCGCCGGCACGACGGAAGCGAGGATCTGGGCCCGCACCAACTGCCGCTTCGACGGGTCCGGGAGGGGCAGCTGCGAGACCGGCGACTGCGGCGGGCTCCTCCAGTGCCAGGCCTATGGCGTGTCCCCGAACACGCTGGCCGAGTTCGCCCTGAACCAGTACATGAACATGGACTTCATCGACATGTCCCTCATCGAGGGGTTCAACGTCCCGATGGAGTTCAGCTCGACCTCCGGTGGGTGCAACCGGGTGATCAAGTGCACGGCCGACATCATAGGGCAGTGCCCAGCTGCACTGAAGGTCACGGGCGGGTGCAACGGGCCGTGCCCGATTTTCAAGACGGACCAGTATTGTTGCAATTCCGGCAGTTGTGGGCCGACTGATTATTCCAGGTACTTCAAAGATAGGTGTCCGGATGCTTATAGTTACCCCAAGGATGATGCTACCAGTGTTTTCACCTGCCCCGGAGGGACAAATTATAAGGTTGTCTTCTGTCCTTGAAGACATATGACTAATAAGAAGTTCATCCTTCCACGATGAACGAAGTTCCAAGACAAATAAATATAGCTTGTAACAGATGCAAAATGAAGCCCTTCTCTCGATAAGCACAGTGTAATGTGCAGGGGAGGGTATATACGTAAATAAATGCATGTAATTTGTCCTGCCGATTTTATGTCAGTAGTTCTGTTTTATGTTGGATAATTCTACGCTGACAACCAGCGACCATGACCACCGATGTTATTTTGAGCAGAAGGCATCGTGATTTAAACACAGGATGGACCGCATTCATACTTAGCGCTTAATCACTCAGGCTACGTGTGGCTGTCAGAACAAATGTATTAAGATAGTATAAGGTAAAGCGAGATAAAATCCCTCGGACTTTCTTATGCCTATCATTGTTTTGAAAAGTAATCAAATACAATGGCTGAGATATGGTCACATCTTATCACGTGATATGTTCGGTAGATCTAGGTTAGGAATGGACAAAAAAATCATAAGCTCAAATAAATTGCCTAGAAATCCCACGCCTAGGAATTTTGGTCACCACTATTGCCATGCTACCACCGGGGTGCTCCCCTCTTCAGGGCGACCGCTACCGTTATGGTGGTTGACAAGGAAGTGCAACCTTAAAGCAGCAGGACGGTCATATCCGATCCTGTCCGAGATTTGTCGCCAAATGCTAAATAGGATAACGTTTCTTATTAAGGCCATCGAACGCGCCATTCGGTCTTCTATTATAAATTGGACAGCGCATGTCTTTCTTAACTGTACAAATCATGGCCTGCCCATCCAAAGTCGTTTCCAAGCTTAATCTAAATAAAGGAAATTTCTCGTGTTTAGGATCTTAATACAAATATAGCAACTTGCCCTAGTCATTTGAATGTCTAGACACGTGAGCTGTTATGTGGAAAAATAATAGGAGGACCATAGCCGTAGACACTATCATGATCATGAGCCTGCACATGGGTTGGGTTGGACTTTGGGGAATAAGTTAAGGCCCATTATAGTTAGTTTCCATGAATTCCTGCACTTGTTGCTAAAAGTAATTGTCAACTTTGTACTGTCAATTCTGAAGAAGTAATTGGGGTGTTGTTTTGCCAGAAATGGTTCCCGCGACGAAATATAATTCACCGAAAGTCATTTTTCGATTTTTAATTAGATGAGACTGGGTTCTAGGTCTAATTTTGGACAGGAGTGATCCAGGCGTGAACAAAGAGTCTGATTGTCTCGATTGATAACACAAGTTTCGAACAATGATGAAATTTGACTTGGATTTATAGAGGATTCAGATGAACCCGTCCAATTACTAGTACGATATTACAAAGTTACTGACTTGGAAAATAAACAACTACAGCTACGGCAACTAAAGGTGCGATACGGAAAAGTAAAGATAAAAAGACAGCATTTTGGTTTGTGTTCGCGTGGGGCGGGGGGCTTCTTCTGTCAGCCGGGTGCTATTTATAATGTAGGCTCGGTAACCGTCTTTGACATCGTGTTCGATAATCACCGTTGATCTCATCTTCACCGTTCATTTAATGACATCTGTCCGCTAACTGCTATCGATCTTATCTTTTTGTCTGAGGTGATAACCGTCGTCGAACTCACATCATTTTGACATCTGTCCTTCCCGGGATGATAATCGTTATCGAACTTTTCTCATTCTGACACTTGTCCTTCCCAGAATGATAACCGTCATCGAGCTTCTCTTATTCTGACACCTGTCCTTCTCGGGGAAATAACCGTCATCGAGCTTTTCCCGGCTTAACATTTATCTTTTCAAAGCAGGAACCATCGTCGAGCTCTTCCTGGCTTGACACCTGTCTTTCCGAGATGATAACCATCATCGAGCTCTTCTCATTCTGACACCTGTCCTTTCCGGGGAAATATCGAGCTCTTCTCATTCTGACACCTGTCTTTTCCGGGGAAATAACCGTCATCGATCTCTTCCCAGCTTGACACCTGTCTTTTCGAAGCAGGAACCGTCGTCGAGCTCTTCCTGGCTTCACACTTGTCCTTCCGAAGCAGGGACCTTTGTTGAGCTCTTCCCGGCTTGACACATGTCCTTCTCCTTGTCGATGGCCTCGATGACAATTTCCCTTGATAACTTTGGCGCTTGCTCGCCAGTTCTCTCTAAATTTTAAATTTCCCGCCGGTGTCTGCTAGTGCTTGCCAGCTGTTTTGCTTGCGTGAGCCGTCTCGTACGGGCTTGTCGCGACCTTTCCGAAGGTGAACCGCCAGAGGAAGGCTAACGAATTTACTAAATGGGAACGAAGGTTCCTTTCACGAGGCAATCGTTCGGGTTTAGTGCAAACTCTCCCGAGCCCATCCGACGGCAACTTGGTACTCAATTCGTCATATGATTAAACTTACATTTTGGAGCCGCCACTAATCTGTTGTGGGTCGATTAGACACCCAAGTAAAATGTGGGAGCACATTTTACTTCTGCGAACCAAAGAGTCATGAATTCGGGGACTTGGTTACGCTAGATTAATCCAACGCCCTTTCAATACCTTTTCTATGTATTTCAAAAATGTTTTGCAAGCAGTCTTTATCCATTTTTTACCTATGCCACTAACATATGAGGGGTAATCATGCACGTGCGCACTCAGGAAAGTAAAACCCAATAATCAAACAGTAAATAGATTACAAAAGATTTTAAGAACCTCGACACACTAAACAAGCAAAGCGTATCACTATCCATCACCACGAGATCTCTGCAAACTATTACTTTAGAAAATTATGCAAACATAATGTATGAATATTATGCATGATCGTGCATGAAATAATGACTAACTAATATGCAATCTATGTGAGACTCTCTACTTCTATTTTTTTTTTGTATTTTTCTTTATTAACTAACAAAAGAAAAATGACCCTAAAAGTCTACAAATTAAATAAATCCTAACCCTGCATCTATATAATTTAAATCCTAAGTGCTTGACATAGTTACAGTGAATTATCAACTATTATTGAACTATATGCAATGTGGATGATGCATGTAATGTAATCACTAAAAGTATCTACATGATACGGTTATAAAACTTAGTTCTAAATGACATGAGTTTTATGATGTGAGCCTAATTAAATCTAGGTCTACAAGCAATATAAATGATTCTAATGACATTTTATTTTTTATTCAAAATCTTTATGTATTCTAAGACTAATTATGGATGCCCTAAATATGAAAATCCTGAAGTGCAAATGACGTGCAATGACGATTGATAATATTGTGATGCAATGAAACACACATCATATCAAAATCAACCATAAGAAGTCATGCAAGACGATATTAGGATCCGACCTTAGTGTCTAAAGGTTTGGAGGCCTAACACGCCTTAGTTAACTAAGGGAAATAATCAAATCATGGTAACCTAAGGGTCTATCAACCAACAACATACAATTAAGAATTATCATAGAAAGTTGAACCCAACTCCACTTACCTGCACAAAACCAATCGAGACCGATAAAGAGGAACCACAAGCAACGTGAGGAACACTATAGTAGCGGTTCAATGCAGGCTGATGGATTTTCTTTATGAAGATGGGCCGCCCATGATGGGCTAATCCAGCCCATGAAAGAAAGTAACTGTAGAAACAAAAGTGAGAACACACGTAAGAGTGTGGGGTGTATTGTATTTTTCATCATCAGAAAACTCATTCTCACTAAAAGACAAAGAAGAAGGGACTTTGTTCAACAATTTAAGGATTGTTCTCTCTCTCGAGGTTGTGATAAGTGCATTTAATCTGTGGCAAGAGGTATGTTCGTTTACGTGATATACTTGACGATCGTGATTCAAGTATAGAATGGGCACGTTTTTCCGCAATTTTTGTATTATGTTTAGGAATATGTTTCCTTCATTGGTATCAGAGCTTACGAAAAATAGATAAACACAATCAGGTGGTGATCCTCTTTTTATAAACTGGAAATGACTCATGAAAATCCTCAGGAAATTCTATTTTCTTTGGCATCCAAATGGAGGCACCCGGAAAAACCTTAGATTCGGGCAACATATTGCGCCGAGACCGATTCAATGCAAGGGTTAATGTCCTCCTTGCCCCGACCCGTATGTGCTCTATCATAAATTGCTCCACAATCATCTTATAGCTCGGACCTTCTAAGTTGTCCCAAACCCTATCAATCATTCTTCCCAACTCATCAGGAATGGTGCGTTTGAGGGCTCCGACCACCACATACTCTGGCATTACAAAACCGTTCCAAATGATATATTGTATCATTTGGTTGACCTTGATGATGTGTGTCATCATGTCATCATCAGCATCCCACCGGTTAAGAGCCAGCTTGATTCTTAGTATCTCAAGCTTCTTCTTTTGAGCCGCCGTTCTAGGGATAATAGGGGTTCGATATCTTCGTACCATTATTCCTGCAACAAATGCAGAAAAATAAAAGGATTACTCATAATCCAAGGTACAATTTTTTTTTTTTATTAAATGCACTTCAATGCTTAGTGCATTATATCGAGAAAGTATATCTGACAGATGAGATTAGCCCACTTACACGGGTAATCGCCTCTATTTACTGTGTGATAAATAGAGATGAGACAATTTTTAGGCTTATTATCTAGGTGATAATCGAGAGCTCAAGCTTAAAATAAAAATGTTGCCTTAGCTAAGTGCCAAGATGAGGACATAACATTTACTATGTCCGAAAGTAAAATAACCCACATATTTTACTTTATCTGTCTTTGATGCCAGATGTGAGTTCTAATGGATTCTTTAGAGGGGTAGATACGTGAACTCAAGTTTAGACATTAGGTATGTCTGAACTATCATCTGTACGGTATTGAATGTAAAGACATACGCTCCATAGGAAAGGAGTTAATACTGTAATACGTATTTCATACTACGTATGCATGAGACGACCGATAAGAGTGGCAAAAGTTCTTGATCTCAACTTTATGCCGTGTGAGACTCTTGAGGATACAGAGTTCCTCATTTAGTACCCTCACGACTCTGACTTATTCTCAAAGTTTTTATTCAGTGTTCGCTATCTTAGGGTGTTG